AAAAAAAAAAAAAGAAAAGAAAAGAAAATTATGATACTTTTTGAATAGCCTCTTCTGCTTTTGTCTTCAAAATATGGGTCAGTTCATGTGTTTGAATTTTAATGTAGTGACTGATACAATGAAGTTTGTTGTATATACTAAGTTTAATGAGTTAGTATACTCAGAAACAGGACCTAGAAAAATAGCTGCAGAAAGACCTCCAGACAGACTAGAGAATTAATTGAAATTATTGTTCTGATTAACATTTCAGACTGATGGCGCTTCCGCAACGCTGATTATGGCAGAGGACAAAGCTCTGGCCATGGGTTATAAACCAAAGGCATATTTAAGGTAAAGTATATATTCAAGTAAATCACCTTTGATTTCTTTATTTTGCAAAATAAAATAACAAATGAAATTAATTTAATTAAAAAATAAAATATTAAATAAAATAAAGAAAGCTAACCCTTCTGTTTTTTTACCTAGAGATTTTGTGTATGTGTCCCAGGATCCAAAAGATCAGCTTTTACTGGGGTAGGTAGTAGTGTATATTCCTAGACTATAATCAAAAGTATTTGATCATACCACTTATTACACAGGTTTTAAAGTATGGTAAGTCCTAAATTTATAATTGGATCATGTGGTGGGCTTTTTTTTTTAATAATCCTTTTAAAAATTATTCCCATGTTTCCTATATTTTTTACTTAAAATGATTATACATGYATAACATATATATCACTTTCTATTTTTTATAAGATATCATAAGCATTTTTTTTATTTTGCTATATGCACTGCTACACAATCTTCTTAATAGCCTTTCATAAAAACCTTCTGATATGTTTATTGTGTTCCCCTCCCTCACAAGCTGCTAGCTTCAGTGGCTTCCATTATGACCTGGAGATTAACCAGGTCCTTTCCCATTTCTTTCCCTTTAAATTCTGTTCTTCTAGTGTGTACATTATCAGCTTGAATTTATCCTTCATTGTTTACTTGTTTATTATGTTTCCCCAGCTCTGCAGTATAAACTTAACAAGAACAGAGCATGTCTATTCAGTTCATTATTGTATTCCCAATACTTAATCAGTATGTTATAGTAAAATTAACAAATTAGTGTAAAACTCAGTTTGGAAAATATGAAGGCATTCTTAATTAAAGTTTTAAGATACTACCTTTTTTTTTTTTCTTTGCAGACCAACATATGCAACACCGAAAGTTCTAGAAAAGGCAGGATTAACCATGARTGACATTGATGTTTTTGAATTTCATGAAGCTTTCTCAGTAAGTCATTTGAAAGATATATCTGAAAGGACTAAAGTCATTAAAAATGTAGTCCATGTTTGTGGGAGAGAGCAAGGCATGGTTTATAATGTGGGTGAAATAAGAGTGGTGAGGCTTTCTATTTTAAATACTAATCTATATTGCAGGAGGGGCTTCAGGGGAATTAAACAAGGGCCACATGTATGGTATTTAAAATATCTTTTGATGCTATCTTGGAGAGGTCCTTAAGAAGTACTAAACTGTTTCTTTAAGAAATTTTTTTTTATTATTATTCTATTTATTTATTTGTATGTGGTGCTGAGAATTGAACCCAGGGCCTTACAGGTGCTAGGCAAGTGCTCTACTGCTGAGCCACAATCCCAGCCCTCTTTAAAAAATTTTTGACTGAAAACCTATTTAAAGATTTGCCTAATTAAGTGCTATATATAAGTCATATATTTAAGTGATTGCACTATTTTTATTCTCATACAAATTTTTTATGCCTAAAATTTCAGAATAACCAATATTTTTTTAAAAAGTGTTTATGAGGAAATCTAGTCAGCCAATTTAAATCTTAGGACAATACTTAACTATCTAAAATATGTGTTCTACATTGTATTTTCCCTTGTAGGGTCAGATTTTGGCCAATTTTAAAGCCATGGATTCTGACTGGTTTGCACAAAACTACATGGGTAGGAAAACCAAGGTAAGTTTCTAATTAAAAAAAAAAATGCTTGAATTTTCAAAGCACATTAATATTTAGAATTTAGTAACCTGCTATTAAGGTATATGAAGGAGAAAGCTTCTTTTGAAGAATTTTGTACTTCATTATATGTATTTATTTCTTAGTTTAAAAATAGTTTTTGAAAATTCTTTAGCAATTTAGTAAAATTTTATGTGGCCTTTTGTTCTTCCCATTCAGACATTAGATAAAAACAAATTGATCCTCATCTTCTAATACTGGTCTAGACTTTCTTTCTTTTTTTTTTTTTTTTTTTTTAAAGAGAGAAATAGAGAGAGAGAGCCAGAGAGAGAATTTTCAACATTTATTTCTTAGTTCTCGGCGGATACAACATTTTTGTTGGTTTGTGGTGCTGAGGATCGAACCCGGGCCGCACGCATGCCAGACGAGCGCGCCACATTCCCAGCCCGGTCTAGACTTTCTTTTGCAGTAAAATTATTTATATCTAGCATTAGTTATTTCCCTATTACTTCCTGGCTTAATTCATATCTTAACTTGCCTTTATTATGTCTTTATTTTTGTGGGTGCCAGGTTGGATTGCTTCCTTTGGAGAAGTTTAATATCTGGGGTGGATCACTGTCCCTGGGACACCCATTTGGAGCCACTGGCTGTCGGTTGGTCATGGCAGCTGCCAACAGATTACGGAAGGATGGAGGCCAATATGGCTTAGTGGCTGCCTGTGCAGCTGGAGGGCAGGTATGTCACAGCAATTTCATAGGGTTTTCCAGAAAGTCATTTTCTTAGAAACAAGATAAGCTCATCCCAAGAATGCTTGGTTTAGTTTGAAGTAGTTTTTGTTTGTTTAGAGCATTTTATATATATATATATAGCAGTGAGTTCATCTTGATAAATTCATACAATCATGGAATTCAATTTCATTTCGTGTCCCTCTCCTTTCTTTCTGCCCCCCCCCCACATTCTCCTTTCTCTACTGATCTTCCTTTCACTCATCTATTTTTTATTTTTGCTTGGTTCTTTCTACTTACATGTAAAGGTGAAATTCCCTATGATGTATTTATAAATGTATATGACATGATTTTTTAAAATCCTTTTAATGTTTTCTTGCCTTTCCCATCCCTCCTCTCTCCCTCCTCTTCTACTCTACTGATCTCCCCTATATCTTTATGGTATTTGATCCTCCCCTCCTGGTTTGAAATATTCTTAAAGCAATATTTCTGATGACAGCCAACCAGAAATAAAACAACCTTCTTGGGTGGGTGATGATGGGGAAAGTAACAACAAAAATTCTGRTAACACTTTAGAAGAACGATGCTGTTTAAATATATGTTGTGTTTTCRCTAAGTTAATGTTTACTTTTTTGTGTGTGGGTGAGTACTCGGGATTGAACTCAGGGTCACTGGACCACAGAGCCACATCCCCAGCCCTATTTTGTATTTATTTATTTATTTTTTTAGTTGTAGATGGACACAATACCTTTATTTTATTTATTTATTTTTATTTGGTGCTGAGGATTGAACCCAGTGCCTCACAGGTGCTAGGCAAGCACTCTACCACTGAGCTACAATCCCAGCTTCCCTATTTTGTATTTTATTTAGACACAGGGTCTCACTGAGTTGCCTAGGTCTTCACGTTTTTTGCTGAGGCTGGCTTTGAACTTGCAATCCTCCTGCCTTAGCTTTCTGAGCCACTGGGATTACAGGTGTGCACCAATGTGCCCTGCTAATGTTTTCATTTTTTGTTTATAAAATTAATACATGCTCATTTTGAAAACTATGGAAAATGCAAAAAGTATATAGAAAAAAATTGGAACCACTAATAATTCCCTCCCTAGCCACCATTGATATAGATACCTTGATGTATTTTCTTATTTAACCATAAATTTTTGTTTATTTATCTAATCAGCATGAGTACTTACCTATAAAATGTCTCCAAGGGGTATTTGATCCTCCCCTCCTGGTTTGAAATATTCTTTTTTTTTTTTAAAGAGAGTGTGAGAGAGAGAGGGGGAGAGAGAATTTTTTTAATATTTATTTTTTTTAGTTTTCGGCGGGCACAACATCTTTGTTTATATGTGGTGCTGAGGATCGAACCTGGGCCACACGCATGCCAGGCGAGCGTGCTACCGCTTGAGCCACATCCCCAGCCCTGAAATATTCTTAAAGCAATATTTCTGATGACAGCCAACCAGAAACTGTCTTTCTAAACAACTGAATTATACCTTAATTAGGGAATTAATTTACCTCTGGAAAGATATTCAACTAGGAAATTGTTATTCTGACAGATTTTTTTTTCCCTACCTTGCTCTCATTATATACCCAACATTTTACCTGCTATAGCATTTAACTCTGGGAATAAAATCCAAAAGGAAAACTGACAGTCATATTTTTTCATTTTGTTTTTGTTTTGTCCTGATGTGAACATATTATTTTCCTACAGATTACAGAAACTTTCTGTTACTGATCCAGATAAATACATAACATATTTGAAAGTATAAAACATTTTATATTTACCATTTTTTATTTATGATTTTTCCTCAGAAATAAGGAAATAGGTTCAGTTATTGATAAGTTAGAACATTTTAGATTTCATGATCAGAAATTTTTTAAATCTGTACAACTTATTTACAGAAATACTTGGTTAGTTAGGACTAGACCTCTCCCTTTCATTTATCCCTCTGTGCCAGGCTTCCACAAGGGAGACAAGTCATATGTAGTACTGTGCATAGTGTGTCATTCACATAGGACACGTTCTTTGATTTGTCTGTTTACAGTGCTTTTTTTTTTTTTTTGCACCAGGGATCAAACCCAGGGGCACTAGCCACTGAGCTACATCCTCACCCTTTTTATTTTGAGACAAGGTCTTGCTAAGTTGCTTAAGTCCTTACTAAATTGCTGAGGCTGGCCTTGAATTTGGGATTCTCTTGCCTCAGCCTCCCAAGGGATTACAGGCATGAGTCACCACACCTGGCTTCCCAAGTTCTTTATCTAGAAAGTAGAATATAAATAATACTAGATGCTTCTGTATGTGAACAAAAAGTTATCCCTAGAATCTGTCTTTTAGAAGTGTGTAATGTAGTGAGGAACAAGGAGATGATACAGATGATATGTTAAACTGATACTGTTTTATCAAGAGCCAAACAGTAACACCAGCATCATTAGGAGATTAGAGGAAGAATCTGTCATGGTGGATCTAGAGCAGAGCCTCTCAGCTTTGGCACTATGAACATACTGGGCTGGGATAACTCTTTGCAGTGGTAACATTAAACTCCCCTCCACCCCTACCTTGCTCCATACACACAGTTGAAACCAGAAATATCTCCAAATATTGCAGTTGTTTTCTGGAGAGAGTGGATCCTCCCTTAGGTAAGAACTACTGGTCAAGCTGGAGCTTGAAAGCAGTGTATTTTAAATAAAACTGGAGAAGGCAGGTGCAGTTGTGCACACTGTAATCCCAGCAGTTCAGGAGGCTGAGGTAGGAGGATCACAAGTTCAAGGTCAACTTGGGCTGTTAAGGGAGACTCTGTCTCAAAATAATTTTTTTTWAAAAAGCATTGGGGATGAAGATCAGTGTAAAGTGCTGCTGTGCTCAGTCCTCAGTACTGAAAGAACAACAACAACAAAAAAAAAAGCTGAAGAGTGTTCCACATTACTGAGTCCTTCCAGGACAATTCCCAAGTCAGTCAAACTTTCTTATCCTGCTCTTTTTTGTTTGCTTATGTGTTGTCAAAGTACCTGTTTTGGTCTACAGTGTGTACTAGATAAGAGTGGAGACGTAGCAAATGTTTAAACCCACACAGCGTCCAACTTGGTGCCTGGTAAATAATAGTTTCTTGATAAATATGGGGATTGAATTGAACCTAGAAGACAAGAGATTCATTAGGTCATTTACTGGTTTGTTGGCAGTCCAAAGGTTAGAATGACTGTGATTATCAGATGGGATTTAAATTAGAGGCATACTAGTATATAGCTCTGTGTAGTGCTAGAGAAGGGACATTTCTTCTTCCTTTTGTGGCCCTTCAGACCATCTCTTTAATCTGTGTATACTAGTGGAGGTAAGAACCCAAGCTTTGGAATCATCTAGATCTGGTTTCAAATCCTGACCTTGCTACTTAATAACTTTGTGATTTGTATGAGTCACTTAATCTTTCAAAACCTCAGTTTTCTCATCTAGAAATTTACTGTTTTAAAAATTGTATTTTTATGTGGTGCTGAGGATCAAACCCAGTGCCTCTCACATGCTAGGCAAGCACTCTACTGCTGAGCCACAACCCTAGCCCCTAGAAATTTACATTTTTAGCACTCACTGTATTGTGTTTATTTCTATACAACTAGAAAAGCCTCTGATTTCTCACCTTAATAGTAAACTTTGGGCTAGGGTGTAGCTCAGTAGTAGGATGCTTGTTTAGCATATACARGACCCTGGGTTCAATCCCTAGTATCACAAACAAAATATAGCAACCATTTATAGAACATCTATTAGGAACCAGACTGTACTAGATTCTGGTGCACTTACGTATCCAAACACATAAATATATGTGTATGTGTGTATACTATATGCTACCTTGTTTGTATGCTGTACTGGGAATTGAACCCAGGGGCTCTTTACCACTGAGCTGTACCCTATATACTTAGTCTTTTTTTTTTTTTTTTTTTTTGAGCTAGAATCTCACTAAGTTGTCCAAAGCTCATTTTAAACTTGTGATCCTGTTGCTTCAGCCTGCTGAATCACTAAAATGACAGGCCTGTACCACCATGCCCAGCTACTGTATGCTAATTGAATATTTACAGAAACTTTCTGAAAATTTCATAAACCCCATTTTATAGAGGAAACCAAGGTTCATATGACTACCAACTTTCCCAAGATCTCACAATGGCTAAATGGCAGAGCCAAGATCAAACTTCCAAGCCTATACTTTTACAACACTGTTATCTGCTGCCTCCATACTGACTGGATTCATGACCTTTCATTGTTCTAATGGAACTTTTTTCCTTTACAGGGCCATGCTATGATAGTGGAAGCTTATCCAAAGTGATGGATCCTGAGGAGGAGACCTGACTTCTGTGCAGCACTTGCACTGGGCAATGCCATTTCAATGCATTACTAAGTGACACCTGTAGTTCCTAGTTCCTCTTAGGAAAACATCTGTGGCCTTCTGTTAAGTACTTTGCTATTAAGCCTTGCCAACGTTCTGACGTTTTTCAATAATCATAGCTTACTGCTCTTTCAGGGATTTCTGAGTTACCCCAATATTACACAAATACATTTAAACAGTTGTTTTTGAATCTCTGTTGTCATTAAAGACTAAAGTAGTGGTTACAATTTGTGAAAGAGGTTAGCTAAGATTTGGAATCATCTGTGTAACATTTGCAAATTATACTTCTTCCTATCTGTGTCCTAAAGATAAGTATTTTCTCTAAAATACAAACCAATGTGCCTCAATTAACTAATTATGGAAAATAGTTCATTATCTAAATATAGCTAAAAAAACTTTGAAAGTAAATGTTGAGATATATAAATACCATGTTGGTCAACCTCAATAAAATAGAGAAGTATTGGAGAACTCTTTGCCTTATTTTTATTAAGGAGAGAAGGTGGTTCTCTTGGCTTAGAGGTGGATTTTGCCTTTAATATCTCATTTGTAATTTATAACTTTCGGTAAGCCATAAAGGAATAAGAGTGTTCTGCTTTAAAATAATACCTTCCCCAATTGCTTGATAGGAGTAAATTTATCTCATTGTTTGGAGGTGCTTCTGTTTGCTAGAATTTAAATCAAGTATAAAGAAGTTTTTTATTTTGATCAACTACTATTAGCCCTTTCATATTTTTGACATCCACACTTTACTAAATAACATATAGACTAGTGCTTTGAAAAGAAGCAAAAGGCCTACTAGTGGCCATTTAAATGTTGCTTAGGTCTGTGACAGTTACTGGTGGTCATAATCAGCCTGTAGTTCATGCACATCAGGCACAGGACCTATGCTAACCTCTTAAAAAGATATTTGAGTGCTCACTTTGGTAGCACGTATACTAAACTGGAACATTACACAGAAGATTAGCATGGCCTGTTTTGTTTGTTTATTTACTTACTTTGCAGAACTGGGGATCAAACCTAGAGCATCAGGTATGTTAGGCAAGTGCTCTACTATTGAGCTATATCCCAATCCATTTTTTGCTTTTTATTTTTATTTTTTGAAAACAGGGTCTCAGGCTGGCTTTGGACTTATAGTCCTTCTGCTTCAGCTTCCTGAGTAGCTGAAGTAACAGGCACATGCCATAATGGTTGGCTTGAAATATGAACTTTTATTATTCTTCATAGAATGCAATGTGGTGGAGAGACAAGCCACAGTGGGCAAAGAGGTAGATGCTTCTTACAAAGGATCCAGAATATAAAGAATTACTACAGAGCAAGAATAAAGACAATGTAGTAGAAAAATGGACAGAAGATAGTAGCAGACATTTTTTCTTTTAGAAAATGATAACATGAAAAGTTGAATTGTTAGTAATAAACATGAAAAGTTGCTTATTAGTAATAAAGAAAAAATCAAGGTCGTAATGAGATATACTTTTATACTCACCAGACTGGCAAAAATATAACAAGACAGAATTGGTGAAGAGATGAAAAAGTAGGAACTTTTATACACAGTTGATGAAAATATAAATTGGTGCTGAGCATCATGGTACACACCTGTAATCCCAGTGAGGCTGAGGCAGGAAGATCGCAAGTTCAAAGCCAGCCTCAGCAATTTATCGAGGCCCTAAGTAACTTAATGAGACCCTCTCAAATTTTTAAAAAATTTTAAAAAGGGGCTGGGAATATGACTCAGTAGTTAAGTATCCCTAGGTTCAATCCCCAATAAAAAAAAAAAAAAGTGAAAGAAAGTATAATCTTGGAAAAATATTGAATACCCATATTCACAGCCACATTATTCACAAGAGCCAAAAGGTGGAAGCAATCCAAATGTCTGTGGACAGATAAATGGATAAACAAAATATGACGTATAGCCATAATGGAATACTATGCAGGTTAAAACTCATGGTAATCTTGAATGAACCTCAAGTACATTATGAAATAGGCCAGTCACAAAAAGACAATTACTGTATAATTCCACTTATATAAGGTTTCTAAAGTAGATTCATAGAGACAGAAAGTACAATGGTGGTTGCCAGTCACTGAGGGGTGGGGAGAATGTGGGGAGTTGCTGTTGCATGGATATAAAATTTTTAGTTTTGAAAAATGAAAATAGTCCTAGGGATTGGTTTAAGAACAATGAGAATGTATTTTACTGAACTATAAACTTTAAAATATTTTAAAAATTTCCACAATTTTAAAGTTTTTTAAAAAAGTAAAGGAAGACAATTCAGAATTGAGGTTGCTTGTGGGTTGGGGGGCATTGGAACTGGATTTGATGAGAACACCCAGCCAGCTTCACTGTACTGGTAAATTTCTAGCAAAAGTTGTCTTGTAGGTTCATCCAATTTTATATATTATTTTAAGGCATTCTGCCCAATTAATTTATTAACTTGACTGCTTCTAATGATCATCCTTGGCAGAAGTGGCTTGGCGTCGCTTCAGTCTACATAATAATTCTTTTTTTGTTGTTTTTTGGGACCAGGGATTGAACTTGGGGTGTTTAACTACTGAGCCACATCCCTAGCCCTTTTTATTTTTTTATTTGAGACAAGGTCTCTCTGAGTTGCTTAGGGTCTTATTAAGTTGCTGAGAATAGCCTTGAACTTGCAATCCTCTTGCTTCAGCCTCCCTGGGATCACAGGCACGTGCCACCGTGCTGGCTGAAGTTCATTCTTAGACATCTTAAGTTGCTTATGTTAATCATGGGGCAGAGGGTTCTGGGGGTTGAACCCAATGGGACTCTAACCCTATGCTATATCCCTAGGGTCCCCCCATTTTTTTCCTTTACAGTGCTAGGGATCATACATGGGGCCTTGCACATACTGACCAAATGCTCTACCACTGAGCCACATTCCCAGCCCTTTTTATTTATTATTTTGGCATAGGGTCTCACCAAGTTGCTTAGGGCTTTACCAAGTTCCTAAGGCTGTCTTTGATGTGTGATCCTCCTGCCTCAGTCTCCCAAGTCACTGGGATTATAGGTGTGCACCACTACACCTGGCTCTTAATGTCATTCTTTTTTTTTTTTTTTTTTGAGAGAGAGAATTTTTAAATATTTATTTATTTATTTTAGTTTTCAGTGAACACAACATCTTTATTTTATTTTTATGTGSTGCTGAGGATTGAACCCAGCACCCCGTGCATGCCAGGTGAGTGCGCTACTGCTTGAGCCACATCCCCAGCCCCATAATGTTATTCTGAAAGATGCCAACTTTCTCTCTTTTCATGTAAAAATTTAATTAGATTATCTGTTTCACCAAGTAGCTATTTGGGAGTGGCACCTCCTATTTCCTGTCTTCTCTCATTCAAACTAGAAAAGCCTCACTTCTGTCTTCCTCGCTGTTTGTTTCTCTATGGTCTCTGATTCAGAGTAACATTCATGCTCTTCCTATGGTCTATGTAGTTCATTCAATGAATATGTATTGAATGCCTACTAGGTGTTAGGCACTTACTCTAGACGTGGAGGCTACAGTAACCAGTAAAATAGACAAAAAATTTCTGCCCTTGCACCCATCTTTCCAGAGGAAAGAATCCTAATTCTACTCCGTCTATTGTCTCCTCCTAGCCATTCTCCTTATTTACTTTTGCAAGGCCTCTCAAATTCTGGTATTTTTTTTTTTTTAAAGCTAGAGAGAGAAAGAGAGAGAAGAGAATTTTATTTTTTAATATTTATTTTTTAGTTCTCGGCGGACACAACATCTTTGTTGGTATGTGGTGCTGGGGATCGAACCCGGGCCGCACGCACTCCAGGTGAGCGTGCTACCAGTTGAGCCACATCCCCAGCCCAAATTCTGGTATTTCTTGAAGAATGAAATGCAGGGGCATGGGTCCCAGTCTCCTCCTCATATTTTAATGGATGGCTCAGAGGTACTCTGCCACTGGCTTATTTGGTCTCTAAACTGGTATACTCTGCTTTCTCAGTGAAGAGGAATTACTGACTGGGAGGATGTTGGAAGCAAGAGTAGTGAGTAGTGTTACTAGTCTTCAAGGAAATATGTTGATGTGAAAGAGAAGGGACATTTAGACATACTGGCAATGTTCATAGCTGCAAAGGACTCAGCTAAGGAACCCTTTTCCTTTCCGTAATTAAGGGACTGTCCATGATCAAACAATTAATTCTCAAAACAGAACCCCAGAAGGGCATTCAAAACTTCCTCAGGAATCCCTGATATTGTCTGCCTCCTGTAAAAACCTAAATTCCAGGGAGTATTTTGTTTCTACCTTTATTTGTCAGATTTATATGTTTAAATATGTAAAGTTTCAGAAGAACTTTTTTTTTAATATTTATTTTTTTTCTAGTATATAAATACATGCCAATTGCGTTCTGTAGGATGAGTAAGTCCAGAGATCCAATTTACAGCATGAAAACCCTAGTTAATAATACTGTATTATATACTGGAAATTTGTTGCTATTTTAGGTGCTATAACCTAAACACAAAAGTAAATACATGAGATGATGGATCTGTTAATTAGCTTAACTTTAGCAGTCATTTCACTATGTGTATATATATTAAAGCATGTTCTATACCTTAAGTCTATAAAAGATGTTAACTATAAAAAAAATTCAAACAATATAGAGAGTAGGAAGAAAATGAAAAAACAAGTAGAGAGGGCCACTGTTAATATTTTGATATCTCCTTTTCAATGCATGCTTATATGGATTGTAATCGCATAGTATAATGCTGCCCTGGAACCCTTTTGTTTACTTAGCTRTATAGCCTAAACATTTTTTCCATATCAGCAGATGTAGCTCTACATCATTTCTAGTGACCACATAGCATTTCTGCATATGGGTCTATCCTAATTTATTTTACAAATGCCTCTCTTTTGAGGAGGCAAACCCTCTGGAATGCACAGCCTTTGCACAGTTACCTGTTGTCTTGTTCTCTAATCTCTTTAATCTCTTTAAGCCATCGTAGAAATTGAATTGCTGCTAAATGTTTTGTTTTCTTAAATTTGTCTCTAGACCCTTCTTTTATGGTCTTTTTTGTTTTTTGTTTTGTTTTGTTATGTTTTTTAGTGTCATTTCATTTACCAGTTCTGAACATAAATTTTTACCAGCAGAGTATGTGCAATCACTTCGGGAAGGAAAAATGAGAACACATCTTTCTAAAGAAGCACACTCAGGAAAGGGGTCTCTGCTGCTTCTAAAGGGAAAAAGTGGCTGGGCACAGTAGTGCATACCTGTAATCCCCATGACTTGGGAGGCTGAGGCAGGAGATTGCAAGTTCGAGGCCAACTTCAGCAATTTAGAGAGGTCCTAAGCAATTTAGTGAGACCCTATCTCAAAACAAAAAATAAAAAAGGGGTGGAAATGTAACTCAGTGGTAAAGCACCCCTGGGTTCAATCCCTAGTACTAAAAAATAAATAAAGGGAACAAATGTATTTGAATTTGTAACCAAAAATACTTTTATAATTTTAAGAATGA